GGTGGTGCTGGACATGGCCCGCAACTCCTTCGACGACCGGTACCAGGGCTGCCGCCGCATGATGGAGGAGGAACTGGAGGAGCTCAACCGCACCGAGTTCAACAACAACAAGGTCTACGCTACGGCCTGGACCCTCGCCTCTGACACATGGCGGAGCCAGCAGAGCCGCGTCCCGCAGCCGCCAGTGCTGCTGCCGCCGAACCAGGCGATCGCCCTCCTGGCGTACACCATGCAGGACCCCCTGTACCAGGCATTCAACGCGGCCGTGCGCGAGGCCGGGCGCTCCCACAAGGAATACCTGCACAACTTCCACTTCAAGGTGCTGCATTTCCTCCTGAGCGAGGCTCTGCGTGCCCTGCGGGACGCCCAGCCCCACCGCTGCCACGACGTCTACCGGGGGGTCCAGGGCATCCGCTTCGCCACCCAGCACCACCAATCCATCCGCTTCGGCCAGTTCACCTCCACCTCCCTCGAGATCAATACCATGGAGCGCTTTGGCCAGGACACCATCTTCTCGGTGCAGACTTGCTATGGTGTCCCCATCGGGCGCTTCTCCTTCTTCCCCGGGGAGGAGGAGGTCCTCATCCCACCCTTCGAGGTGTTCGAGGTCACCAACGTCACCCGCAAAAGGGACAGCACCGTCATCCAGCTCCGCGCCCAGGACACGCTCAGCACCTACAACTGCGAGTTCGTGAAAGGTGACGTCCCTGTGGTCGGGGTGCCGGCATGCTGGGGCCAGGGATGGGGGGTGGCCCCGTCCCACCAGCTCTGCTGGGAAAGGGGGGCTCGATCGTGGGGAGGGCGATGGGGGGAGCTTGCCTTTGGGTGAGCACCCTTGCTTGTCTCCCAGCTGCTCTCCCCTGGGGTTTGCAATGGGGGCCCTTGGCAGCACGGCGCAGCATGGCATGGCACGGCGCAGCACAGCAAAGCATGGCATGGCATGGTGTGGCACTGTGCAGCATGGCACAGCATGGTGCAGCACAGCATGGCGTAGAATCATGGAATCATTTGGGTTGGAAAAGAGCTTTAAGATCATCCAGTCCAACCAGTAACCCAACACTGCCAAGGCCACCACTGAACCAATTCAGGGCAGAGTCATCATTTCATGTTTCCTGCCTCGGGGGCTGGATTATTTTTGAATGAAAGTAAAAACTGGGAATCACTAAGGTTGGAAAGGATCTCCAAGATCATCAGTCCAACCATCAAGCCAACACCACCGTGCCCACTAAACCATGTCCCATGGCACAGCATGGCAAAGCATGGCATGGCACGGCATGGCACTGTGCAGCACAGCATGGCATGGCACAGGACGGTGCAGCACGGCATGGCACGGCGTGGCACCATGCAGTGCGGCGCTGCACAGCACAGCATGGCACAGCACGGCAAAGCACGGTGTGGCACCGTGCAGCGTGGTGCAGCACAGCATGGCATGGCATAGCATGGCACGGCACAGCACGGCATGGCACAGCATAGCATGGCACAGTGTGGCACCGTGCAGCACGGCGCAGCACAGCATGGCATGGCACAGTGTGGCACCATGCAGCGCGGCACAGCACGACACGGCTGGGTCGGGGCGAGGAGCGGCGCGGTGCGGAGCGTGCCTCAGCCGTGCAGACAGGGTTGGTTTCTTTGGCAGAGAGGAGATGCAAGAACCGGCCATGCGTCTTCAGCGCAGGTGAGCCGAGACCCCCCGCTGCAGCCGGGGAGGGCGG